TGGAAGCATATAGGTAGCGAAATTCAATTTAAAATGCAATATGCAAAATGGCAATGCAATATTCAAAATGGCAACGCAATATTCAAAATGGCATTTGTATTTCTGTATTTAAATTTACATTTTCCATTACCCATACGTGCAAAGTTTGGTGCAAAAGTAAAATGAAAATTAAATTATATAATTTACATTTGCCATTTCCAAAAGTAGTCTTAATATGTAAATCGCATACTAATTTTAACACTTTATAAGTTGCAAAATGAAAATGTATAACCCACATTGATTTGATATGTGTAACATGTCCAAGCAGAAATAGTAGCAAAATGATCATTTAAATTAGTCATTAAATTATTCATGGCAGCCTACAACACCTTTCTATAAAGACTTATTCAGGGAAGTACAGCAGGATGCAGGAAATGGTTGAGTATTATTTTAGGTATAAAATATCTTTATTTGTAATGTCCATTTCATAGTGCAGCTTGGCTCCTTAAATGTTTAAAACCAGCTAATTTCAAGACGCTGACGTCACATCTGGTCGTCACGTGGATCACCTGCAGTGTAAGACGCTCAAAGCTCAAGACGTTCGGATAGACGTTCGATCAGTCGGTCGGTCGTTCGAACATTTGATTTTAGCATGGAGTACGCTTCATATATTTCTCTGTCCTTGCTCCACTTCATCTGCCAGTGAATTCAACGATCTTATCAGATCTGCAGCCGCCATGTTTCGAACGATCCAAACGTAACATGCTTCCACCAATCCCCGCCTTGAAGCAATGATTGACGAAGAGGTGGGCATGGTCAGCTCGGAATGCATTTTCAAAGCCGCACTGAATTTTGCTACAAATATCCCACGGCGTCATGATGAAAATGCAATCCTAAGTGTCCTAACTGTTAATCTAAATGCATTTAGGACAAATAGCATTTAAATGATAATTTTGCTACTATTTCTGCTTGGACATGTTACACATATCCAATCAATGTGAGTTATACATCTTAATTTTCATTTCACAACTTATAAAGCGTTAAAATTAGTATGCAATTTACGTATTAAGACTACTGTTGGAAATGGCAAATGTAAATTATATAATTTGATTTTCATTTTCCTTTTGCACCAAACTTTGCACATATGTGTAATGTAAAATGTAAATTTAAATAAAGAAATACATTGCCATTTTGAATATTGCATTGCCATGTTGCATATTGTATTTTAAATTGAATTTTGCTACCTATATGCTTCCATAGTTTTTACACCTTCCTCTCTCTCTCTCTTTCTCTGACATCAAATCCTAAGCTGTAGTAGGCATACGGTCTCTACCATCTCTATCTTGTTTTTGACCTTGAGAAGTGTGTATCAGCTCTCCCTGTGGGTTTTATCCTCCTGTCTTTTTTTTAGCTGTTGTCAAGTTCACTACTGCCAGTATAAAACTTCAAACAAACTGTAAGAATGAGAGTGCAATATTGGCCCACTGTGTGAGGCACAAATCAGGTTAATATTCTCATTATCACTTCCTGGAAAGTGTGGCCAGTAAGGCTCCATCTATCTAAAAGTCTACATGACATTTTTGTTTTTGTTGCAGGGTCAAGAAGGAGGTGATGAAAAGCCCGTCTCTGATACCCTGACCCCACCACAGACACAGCCTGGTGTACGTCACAGCTTTGTACAAGAGCACTTCCAGGCACAATATAAGTAAGTGTATTTTGAACACACTACATGCAAAATTTAGGCACTGTTAGATCTTTAAGTGTTTTTGAAAGAAGTCTTTTACGCTGGCCAACTGCATTTATTTGATCAAAATACAGTAAAACAGTAATATTGTGAAATATATACATATTAATATACATATATATATATATATATATATATAACATTATTAATGTTTTACTGTCACTTTTGATCAATTTAATGCATCTTTGTTGAATAAAACAATTCATTAAAAAAAAAAACTTACTAACCTCAAACTTGAATAATGTTAGTGTATATATGTTAAATATACAGTACAAATTATAGAAAATTATCTATACATTTGGACTTAGAACAACCTAATTTACTATGACTTATATTACTATGACTAATTTACAGTACAATGAGCCAGCTTAACCTACTATTAACATTTCAAAGCGTATTAGTGGGATATTACCTAAAAAAAATCTAATACTGTATGTACTACTAGCAATTTTCTACTGGATAGTTAATGTATAGATAGTTAATGTATCTACACTATGTTGTTTCATAAACGTATTAAAATCAACGGGTATTTTTGTTTTGGACACTGTTTTTCCACCTAGTCCATTTTAGATATTCATACACCCTACTGACTGAATGTTAGCATTGTTAGCACCTACACTTGAGGCTTTGTGACTAAACTGTTTAAACACAGATTCCTAACTAGCTTAGCCAGCAAGATATATTTGGTCAAGTAGCATCACCACTGAGACTAAGTTGGCTGACAAATTTTGCCACTTAATTTTGCTGGTGAACATTATGGTTGTGCTGGTCCATTAGCTAGATTAGCATAAACCAACTTTGACTAGCACTGAAAATCATTCTAAACTGGTCTTTTTAGCATCAGTGGTGAAACTGGTGAAAGAATGATGACTCACGACCAAAAATGGGGGGAAAATAAACTCTTATTAGCACCAACTTTCCAAATCTGACACTTCACTTGCTATGACATGAGATGAATCAGTTTATGTTAACTCCTGGGATATGGTCCCCTCTTTTCACCCAGTCCAGTTAATCATCTGTGTTAACGAATATTGATAAAGCCAACAGATTTGGGAGGCAGCATATGTCCAACTGCAGCAAGCTGTTCTTAGTCAGAAGATCCAAGCAAACCATCACCATCAAGCAACTCCAATCAGGCCAGATGGTTTGGTTGTCCACAAGGGATCTCCATTTGAAGTCTCCATCAAAGAAGCAAAGTCTTTGATTTAGTGGTCCATTTAAAGTTCTAAGACAAATACCTCCAGTCGATTTCTACTAAAACCAACCTCACCTTCAGACTGAGTGTATAGACAACTCAGGCTGTATTTCTTTATGTAATGACAAACTTTATCTAAAATCCAAACCTATATAGGACACCATATACTGTAGGCTCATATATTGAAGCATAATTTTTGACCCAACATGTTAATAAACATAAAGATTTGATTTATAAATCTTTAAAAACAAAAGGTCAAGCCACTAAAATGGCAGTTTTGCAATTATGCGTTTGGCAGACGCTTTTATCCAAATCGACTAACATTGCATTCAAGGTATATAGTTTATCAGTTCATGCATTCTTTGGACATCAAACCCATTACATTGGTGTTGCTAGCGCCATGCTCTACTGTTTGAACTATGGGATTTTGTACTATGCAATATATTGAAGATGTACCATGCAATATATTGAGCAACAACACCTTTCACTTTTAAATGCACAAAGTAATGTTATTATGTTTTACTCTCAGAAAAAAAGGTACAAATGCTGTCACTGGGGTGATACCTTTTCAAAAGTTACTCCTCTGTACCCTATTTACCCCTAAAGGGTGCATATAAGTACCTTAAAGGTACATACCTAAAGTCTATATGAAGAGCTTGGTTCCAAAATGCTATAAATCCATTTTGATTAATTTGAGTAAAAATGTGTTTTCTTTACCAAGAAAGTGGCAAGATGAAAACCACTGTTTTCTGTTTCAAACTTTCACATAGCATCTTTAGGTTATAATAACATTAAAAATTCAAATCCAGATTTTGATTTTCAAAGATTTATTATAAAATTGTATAATTTTTTTCCCCAAAATTCAATAAATTCATGACACGTTTTTTTTTTTTTCAAAATGCAATAAATCCATTGAATCAATATAAAAGTTATTTTTCATATTGAAACTGTTGAAAATACACAACATGGTTAATCCACATATGACAGCCTCTGAACTTGGTCAATACTAATCTTATATACAGGCACTGGACTAAAAATACATTTAATCAGTCATCGCTCCCAAAATGAATTCAAGGGGTCATCTTGTTAATGCTATAAATTAATTACAGCAATAAAATTACATTTCATCATGAACATGAACAAGAACATGAACAACAATATCACATTAGACCACAGAAATTCCAAAATGACATTTCCCTTACATTCAACTTCCAAAAGTGCATTCATCTTTGCCATGTTACATTCATTTAGTTGACTAGTGCTATACGCTGTATTAACAAAAACATAAATGGCATTAATAAAAACACTTACACTGACGAGCTACGCAATAATCTCATCTGCGATTATGAACGCGATATTGCATTGCTTGTCAGTGATCTACGGCTCTGTGCATCCATCTGAAAGCGCGTGATGGAAATTTACTATTAATCACAGAACCTGCTTTACTGACGAGATGCGCATGACAATCACATGCGATTTATCGTGCAGCCCTAAGTTTGTTTGTTGATCACAAAGTACAAAGTAGATGAGGAAAACTAGGTTGCCGGGTGTATTCAAAGCACCACCATTACTGTCTAGAGTGCGTGGAATGGTGCGCTGTGATTGGTTGAGCGGATATATCGCATTCTGCAGAGAAGGGAGACTGGTGTTTGTCGCGGTTTGGAAAGAAAGGGAGAAAACATGACAGAATAACTTGGCGGATGTCGCATTTTGCGTAAAATTAAAAATGTACTTTTCAATACCGACCAGATACAATACTGATTTTGGTGGAAACTCTTTTTTTTTTTTAAATGGCGTTTATCGCGTTTTGGAACCAAACTCTTCATATATTAATATTTGTACATTTGAAAAGGTACCATCTATCTTGACTGAACTGTATTTGTGAGTATTATTTAGCTGTAACCTGTACATGGTGGCCAACCTTATGTTGCAAAAAAAAAGTAGGTAACTATGACTGAAGCCTTATTTTTTTCTACATCACATATACATCAGGCAAATTATGCCAAAAGTATTTTAAGTATTTAAAAGGTTTTACACTTAAATCAAAAGATCAAATGTGCAATTTCTGTCATCAGTGTCACCAAATGGACTTTTCGTCTTCCATTGGTCAACCAAACAGATAGTCCCACCCACACCATTGCTTGAGACATTGTTTTTTTGATGAAATGCTGAAATAGTACAGTAAGTGAAACAGTACAGTTTAATATTGCTTCTGCATATTAAAGTTCACTCATAACTGAAAATTGTTATCATTTACTCGCCCTAAAGTTGTTCCAAACCTGAACGTGTTTCTTATGTTGAACAAAAATATTTTGAAGAATGTTGGTAACCAAACAGTTGACGGTAGCCATTGACTTCGATAGTATTTTTTTCCTTACTACGGAATTTAAAGGGTTAGTTCACCCAAAAATGAAAATTGGCTTGTGTTTTACTCACCCTCAAAGCATCCTAGGTGTATATGACTTTCTTCTTTCAGGCGAATCCAGTCGGAGTTATATTAAAAATTGTCCTGGCTATTCCAAGCTCTATCATTGCAGTCAGCGGGTGTTGCAGTTGAATAGTCCACAAGTCGTCAAATAAAGCGCGCGCATTCATAATAAAACGTGCTTCACACGGCTCCAGGGGATGAATAAAGGCCTTCTGTAGTGAATCCATGTGTTTTTTGTAAGAAAAATATCCGTATTTCAAACGTAATAAACACTTTTATATCACTTCCGCCAGCCGTAGTATGCGGAAGCCTTTCTGGCAGATGATGTAGCACGTCGGCATTGTGTGATAAGTCACGAACATGGAGAGACAACAAAACAAAACGCTGGTCACGAATTAGAAGTACAAACCGAAGATTTGCAAAGAAAAATGTCGGAGGATTTCGATATAAGCCAAGAGGAGACTGGTTTTCCTTTGCTAAAGTAGGGAAACTTTGCTTCCTCTGCTCCTATAAACAAACTCGCGAGACTAGCATATCTCAGAGGCGCGCGCGCTGCACATGTCATACGCCTTCCGGCAGAACGCCTTCCGCATATGACAGATAAAGGAAGTGAGAGAAAAGTGTTTATTACGTTTTAAATATTAATATTTTTCTTACAAAAAAACGCATGGATTCACTACAGAAGGCCTTTATTCACCCCCCGGAGCCGTGTGAAGCACTTTTTATTATGAATGCGCGAGCTTATTTGACAACTTGTGGACTGTTCAACTGCAACACCCGCTGACTGCAATGATAGAGCTTGGAATAGACAGGACAATTTTTAATATAACTCCGACTGGATTTGTCTGAAAGAAGAAAGCCAGATACACCTAGGATGCCTCGGGGGGGAGTAAAACACAGCCTAATTTTCATTTTTGGGTGAACTAACCCTTTAAGAGATTTTTGAAT